ATATCACTTCTCAATTCTCCCAATGCTCAAGTTTTAAAACAATAATTTTCCAAAATTAATCTTTTTCGTGATACAAATCAGAATCTACCATCTATGAAATAATTTGAAACCTCACAATACATTTTTTTTTACTAATTAAAGCTACAAAAAGATATTAAAAATGTTTGCTGCTGGTTCAGCTGTAATCATGAGGTAAAGTACGATGATTTTTCACTTTGACGTTGAATATTTCCTTGAAAAGCCTAATCACATGTAGTTTTTAATTTACTGATCAAAAGATGATAAATTTATCTTTTCCATAAATAGTTTCATCTTTTTTTCGCAACACAATTGAGCAAGTTATAGCGAAGGTAATTTAATAACGAATCAGAAAAACTTTGTATAGTGAAAATCGGTTGATTTTTCATTGAGTTATATTGCACGCCATATGGACCTTCGCCACTGAGACGTTATAAACAAAAGTTCTCTGCCACTCTGCCATTTTGAAAGGTTTTTACTTGAAAAAATTCACAGAAATATTTCGAAATATGTTTAAGATGATCTATACGTTTCGATTTTATTGAATCATTGCTTCTACCTAACAACAAACTCCGAACAAACGCCGAAAACATTTAATTTTGGCCTGATAAACCTCCCCCCCCTTAAACTAACTTTTAAATACGTCTCTATATCGATTCATCCGGCCATCCTCGTAAATACGCGTCTTTCCATTGAAAATCCAGCGTCGTGAAAAGCTCGTACGCTTACATACAGGCACATGCATGTTCTCGCACACGTACCTATCGTTCAGATAATGCAGCCCGATCGAGCAAATTGAATTTTCTCTCTTTGAAAGGCGCGGGGCAGCGCGAGATCGAACTCATTAGTCATCGAGTAAAATCGATGAGAGAGAAAGCTCGCAAGCTCGTCGTGTGTCGCCGCTCGGAGAGAGAGACAGAGATGCGGATAAGTCGGTGGGCAATTCTCGCTTATGTAACCCATCTACTAGGCTACACATCAAAAGGTAAGCCTGTAGCGCGGCCGACGCGTTTAACAGCGGCCGCAAGCCTCGATAGAGTCTCGATGATTAGCGGTCGAGGCGCCTCGTAGTTGTAGTAGTAGTAGTAGCAACATAGATATCGTAATCGTTCGGTCAGTCTGCAGAGAGCTTCGACGATGTATTCGTGTGTGTGTGTGTGTGTGCGTGTGTGTAACTCGTCGCTCAGTCCACGCTGCAACGTCTGTGCTGCTGCCGGGACGGGGGCTTAACTTTATTACATCGATTTGGCCCTTTGACTCGCAAGAACATCACCGAAAGCCCATTGACAGTTCAGTTGCTGCAACTGCTACTGCACTGTGTCGTACCTCCCATCATTCAGCGGGTCAGTTATACGTTTACAATGAACTATTGCGCCGGAGAATGATGCGCTTCTCGTCTGCAGTATACGCGTGTGTCATTGCACAATTGCTCGAGAGATTGAAAAAATATCTTGCGGTTTCTTCGATCGTTTCGAACTCGCGCTGATTGTTTTTTTCCCTAGATCGCTCTCTTTCTCTCTGCCGACGTACAGATCATACGGCTTTTTCGGGTATTGGCTCGTAGCTTGTCCTTCCCATGTCTCTTTCATCAAGTGCCAGTTCAAACGTCGAAGAACTTTCGAGCTAGTCCTTTTTTTTTGCGTTCAATCTTAATTATAGACTTTTTTTATTAATTTCATGTGGCAATAAAAATGGATTGTTTAAACGACGTAAAAATTAATCATTGTGACTAACTTGAATTAAAAAAAAAAAATTAATTCGTTTCTGGTAAATCGTCTTATCAACAAAAACTGACCATTTGAAGTAAAAGCAAGTACAACACCATTAATTTTATTGTTCGTTATCGGTGTTTTTTTTTATAATTATGTTAGAAGCATTTTAAATAATCTCGAATGGACATTCTAACAGTTTCAAAAAATTTAGACTAGTTTTCAACACAATAACGACACTTCATATCTCCACCACTAGATGGCGAATGCCTGATTTTTAAATCTGCAAGTGGCAAAATAAAAATGATTGTATAAGTCAAAGCAAGGTTTTGTATAAATTAATAATTCTTTTTGTAAAAGCATTTAAATGATCATTTTCACGAATTTTATACCGTCAAAAAATTATCATTAAATAGCAAGGTAGTCAGCATTCTACTCCTAACTTGAAATTCAACTAACACATGAAATGTACGAAAAGTGCAGCTCGATGCCCAATTCAGAATATTTGTTTCTTACTAAATTTATCTAGCTCCCGTGGATTACGCACTCCAAGGCAGAGAGCTGCCACCGAAGCCCGACCGAAAATGTAAAACCAGCATTCAGGATGTAACGCGGCTCGCGGATAATATATCATGCGTTCACCTACATATATAATATTCGAGTGCGCGCAGCAGAGAGAGAGAGTATCCCGCATGAAAATATGCCAACCATCAGATATCGTCAGTGAGCCAGCAAAACGACACACGCACATATACGTGTACGTAGTAGAGTATAGTGTGTATATACTCGGAGTCGTCGCACGTAGTACAGTCGGCAGCGGCAGCCGCCAGCAAAGCAAAAAGTTGTCTGCGGCGCATCGCGCACAGCAGGATGTGCACATGCAATGGCCAACGCAGCAGTATATAGCAGCATCAGCGTTACAGGGCGCAACACCAGCAATGCAGCGGCAACGAGACGTAAATAGAATGTTGCGTACGTGCTTGTGTGTGTATATAGAGGCCGCAGGGGGTACGGGGGGG